ATTTCCAAAGATATTTTTTATTTCAACTTTATAAATCGTATAAGGTAACGTTTTTTTTTTTATTTCAAGGAAGGAGTATCTCAGATTTAAAAAAAATATTTTTTGGTGTAATAAGTGGATCATTTGCATCGTGTCAATAATACGTGGAGCAGTGATAACGATAACAGGAGGGAGCAGCAGGTGCAACGATAATGAAGCTAGTATTCTCGGCGAGATAACGCGATGAATGTTGATTCGAAAGGAAAGTAAAAAGTGCGTACGGAAAACGAAACTTGAAAGCGAAAGAACGCGAGTCGAAGGTGTGAGTAACGGACAGCGAGGTAGAAATCAATGCGATTTGACAGCCGGACTCCACGTGGAGTCGTTACGTTCACCTAATGCACTTATGTACACTCCGGTTCATAATCATTCCCATGCATTTAGCTTATAAACATTGTTTCTAAATTCTAATCCAAACTATTCGTTTTATGCGTTTCACGAATTTAATTATTAGTAATACATCTATTAAATTATATAATCCTGCTGTTTTTCTAGTGCAATTAAACCTCGTGACTGGACGATTCGAAGTCCAGCAATTTTTCTAATTCCTCCAATGCCAAGGATATTTCTTCCAAGTAATTATTTGCAATTGCAATGATTGTTATAGGTGCAATTTTACAATGATCGTATCCAGTAGTGATTGAATCAGTGAGGTTTGAGTTATTCTTAATGCAACTTTTCACAAATGGAAAAACCATTTTCTCCCTTGCTCCTATAATAGTATCAATCACGATAGAAGCTTAATGACACGATTTCAAATAAGAAATGTTATTTACAAACGCGTTATTGTTGATCATACCTGATGCAGAATTACCTTCCTCGAATGATTTCACAAACGCAGCTTCGTTTGTTCAAATATTAGGATTTCTCTGTTGGTCACAATTGTTAACAATAAACTCTTAACGCATTCGTTTACACATTTTTAGAGATTTGCATGTGTAGACCATAAAATGTGAAATCTGAAGTAGTATTCTTTTGCTTGAGATTTAATTGAGACTTAAGAATAATCGATAATTATGAAATAAAGATAGAAATCGAACCGTGTCTCTCACATTTTATCAACTGACCACTGATTGGTACATGATTCGTTTCCGTTCACCGAATCGAACCACGGAAACGACGCGGTCTCACGCGCGAATCGAATAAACGAGTACAAGTAGTTGAATAAGTACGCGTTGCACAGATGATGGCTGTGTTTGCACTGCGGCCAAGGATCGAGCGAAGGTAATGAAATAGAACTGCTCTCTCTCTTTCTGTCCGCCCCTCTTTGTCGGTCCGTCTACTCTACTTTCTCCTTCGCTCTTTCTGCCCGAGTCTGTTTACCTGCGTTACATACACTCCCGTTCAGAAATATACACTTGATTTCGATTCCATCGATACATCATAGAAATATAAAAAATATATAAGATAAAAGCATAAGAAGAATGTTAAGATAATTGAAAAATATTATTTTATGGTTTGCAGTATTTTATTTTCAC